CCACCTGAGCATGACCTCAACTGAAGTCGCGCCTGGGGTGGGGTATGCCCCATACCCACTTGGGCACCACTACAAGGGCTACAGTAGGGTGCGGGGAACAATTCTTGGCCGAGTTAATAACATGTTATTAACATGCATTTATTAACATAGTGGCGAATAATTCAATGTTCACCTGTTAATAACATATCTGTAGGTACAGATATTAACAGGTGAATATAAGACTTTCTCGCAAGTTACTAACTTACACCCACTGTAACTAAGAGTGAGTGTGTTTGTGCCGCCTTCAGACGGACTCGTAGAGTCGTAGCTCGTTGCCGGCGCTCAGAGCATACTCCAATCGAGACTCGAGGGTGAATCTACTGCTTGACTCTGTGGGATGATTCGACACAGCTACCTTCGGTACAGCCTCACAATATCAATGTCTTCATCCGGTAGGTTGTAGTAGACGTGGAGTTATGAAGGTGCGGTACCTTCATTGAGTCTTCATGTGAGTCCTCGCAGTCTGATTTGTATAACAGATCTGAATCCTGCGATTAACGTGTTATTAACAGCCTATTATTCGCAGTGTTAGCAAATACTGCATTGTTCCCCGTACCCTAGGCTACAGGCGGTGGAAATGGTGCTCAAAGGTAAGATTTAGGTTGATTTTCAACGAGAACAAATAATTTTCACGAACACGGTCTGTTCGAGCTCCTTCCAAGGGCTTCAAACGGTCTCATACGTTCAAAAAAATTTGGCCCAAAAATTTTTTTAAGGATCCCCGAGGGGTGACTAACTACCCACCCGGATGTCCGGGATCCACGGCCCTCCTCCCCCTTGATTGTTGTGTGAGTAGCACTCGGTATAGCCATCCATAATAGCTGTTCAAAAATTCTCCAATAAGTCTACAGGTACTCTATCTACAACAATAACAACTTACCTTGACCATTGTGCTTGGGGACAGTCGGGATCGACGGAAGATCTGAGCGCAGGCGCCTGAGCGAGCGCTTGCGCTGAGTTCTTAGCGGAGTCTGAATAGTATCATCGCGCGCTTGCATTTTGACAGCTCACGCCCAACCTGACTCTCAACCACCGTTGTGATTGGCAAACCTTCGAAAATCTCAAGGTATGTCGCATGTTAGCATCCCGATGTGTTCACAGGCATTCTAATACACCTTGATCCACTGGTTCTGCCCTCATCACTGGAATTAGACACTGTTGCATCCACGACACAGATGGAACATTGATGGGATGGAATCTACGGCTCAGGTGCGCTTGTTATCTCGATGTTCTCCAACAGACCTCCTCAGCTATTTCTAGATTACTGAAAATGCTGACCGCAAGACTAAGGGCGGAATATGGAACTGTACAGAAGACTCAGGCGCGATTAATGGTCTGAGGGCACCAAACGTCTATTTCGAGCAACCGTGTCAGTGACGACGCATCACCAACGTCATCGAACTCATCTTCATCGACTGCTTTCACTGGCCGCACGGACCACCTGCCCGCTATATAAAGCTAACACGCTGCAAATCGTCAACTATCCCTTCTTTCTTCCCTTCCCTTCCCCCACCATCGCCCTGCCTTTTCTTCTCAGTGCCCGCCCCACCTGTCTCCCATTATCCAATGCCGTCCACAATACTTAACCTCAACATTTCTATGCAAGCTGCTCACCGCTATATCTCCAGCTCCCCTGAAGCCTGGTTGCCCAATTGTAGGTATGTCCCACCTAATCTTTGGCGCTCCCCTACCCATGATAAATCAGTTATGTTAGTGCCAAAAGGACACGATGGGGTACACAGAAACGTACGTGCAACTTACCTCTTCACTTGAGACAGCTACTGACTTGTGACTCGTGATTCCACTACAGCGCGCAAGTCAATTTTACTGTCGACATCGTTGTTCATCCTGCATTTTCATCGCACATACATAATTGAGGTGCATATATGCGTCCCATAATGTGCGTATGCTCCTTTTTTGATTCAATTGATACGCAGACTCATAACACATCTCCATAGGAATGCTTTTATGGCGGCCAGCAGGAGGTATGTCGGCTTCGTTAGCTCTTTGTTGAGACTGCCTCCTGTACAAACCAAGTTTGCTCATCCCATATTAGTCGTGTGTCGTATGTAGCAATGAAATGATACATTTTCATTCTCTAATCATTGCCGCCCTACATCATCATCAAATACTCAATAGACTATCTGAGGATGGAATGTGAATATATACACCCATTGAAATGCATGGCCATTCGAAGAACTCTGGAGAACCTGTACTATCTGTTACTCTCTCTACCGCCCGCTGGTACTCGTGACATTTTCCAATACTCGCCGTGACATTTTCCAATACTTGCCGTGACATTTTCCAATACTCGCCGCGACCTCCGCTATCCGGCACTCTCCCTCAAAACTGGTTAAAACCCCCCGAAACTCGTTACACTCTGCACAACTCGCGACAACCTTCACTCTCTGGTATCATCCTCAACACTCATTAGAAGGTACCTGAATCCATTGTTTTTTACTGGTATCGTGCTCACGAATTCTCGCTCTTTTTCCGGATTTTGGAAAAGTTTTAATACTGTTATATAGTCCGTTCCTGCTCGCAACCAGGTATAGCGGGTTTCGTACTACCTAACGGGTATTAAGGTATGAAATGGCCTTACAACTGTTCGGGTATTTTGCTGATGCCTTTGCTAATCAGGAGCGAATGACGTTGTGATTGGGTCGTGAAGGCTTTTTTAACCCCAACTACATCAGCGAAACGGCAAACGCATGGGAGGCATGGGACGCATAAATGTATGGGAAAATGGCCAATTCACCCTCGATAACCCATACATTCCCCGCGTATAAATGTATGGACATATGGGACACAAAATCCTGTCCTTTTCCTCAGCCAGCCAATTTTATTTACAAAGTGTTCATTGTACGAAAGCTACGCTAGCTTGTAATCTGAAGTACAATAAGGTCTAGTAAATACTTGGATCGAAACACAAGTTAAACTTGTGTTGTAAAATATTCGTCGGTGTGTTTACTTATAAGGGAGTGTGGGAACAGCTATGCAGTTCCTCGGAAACACCTGAGTGGCTTGAACACAGACACAGACTAGACACAGACACAGTGATTAGTCATACAAATCCTCGAGCTTTATTCTTCCCTCCCTATATTGCATCGCGCGCTTGCCGCTGAGCCTCTTCCCTGGACCCTCTCTCAATTATTGCAACAATGAAAACTCACTAACAGTGTTCGGTGACCGGTCATGGCAGTTTGGAAGGGATCGGGTTGATGGTGCGTGATAGTTCTCTCGTCTTGGAACTTCTGCTAACTCAGTGTCCCAGATTTTCAATGTGCTATTCGTCTGTCAACGACGCGGATAAACAAAAGCAATAACACAGTCGTAGTCCCGGATTTCCCGGTGCAAATACTTTTGGTCTGTGGTCCACCTGCTTTCAATGAATCAAGTAAGAATTTTCAAGTCTATCTCATTAAATGCGAGTGTTCCTCAATCCTCTCCAAAGTTCCGTGTTTGTCCCTGGCTACGCCAATGTGTTCTGAGTGCTGGTCTGACTGGTGGGAAATGGTGATACGGGGCTTTTCTGATGTGTTATTCTATACTTTTATCACTGCATGTATACATTTGGTACACCTGTCCTATGTTATGAATACAGTTTTTCTGCTGCACTTACTTGCTCAATTGAGCTTTAGCTCTGGATTCCGTCTATCATAAAATTGATATAGCATGCAAAAGATACCAGAATACATGAATCAGACTGTGATGTATATATGTATGGATGTATGGCGGTCCTGGATGGCAGGAAAATTTCCTCCATACAGGTACCCTGTATCCATGCATGTATGGAGAGGCATGGAGAGGCATGGTCCATGCGTTCCATACGTGTGCCGTTTCGACGCTGATGTACTAATCAAAGTTCTCCCCTGGATTCTATGCTGTATCTTCTTCAATTACCGACAGACAACGAGTAGGTCTTAGTACTCAAAGATATCTCTTATCAGCACGCCTCTACGAGAGCTATTTGCCCCACAGGAGAACGTTTGAGCGATGAATGATGTTTTGGCCGTACTGGTATGGAGTTGGCGCCGTCAATGAGAGATTGGTGGTAGTGAGAAAGCAGCCGTCGGTGCGCTCTGTCTTTGCTTTATTTCCTCCCGCTTCTAATCGTCCCGTTTTAAGTTGCAACTCTCCTTCCCTCACCGCTTTCTGTGCTGCATACAAAACTTCCGCCATCCTCTCAGCAGGTATATTTGTCAAGACATCTCCTCATACTCTGATATTTGCTATCCCTCGGATCTAGACCCAGGCCAGTCACCCTCGGCACCTCCAGTATTGGCGCATATACATGAAAACATTGCTCGAGAGCCGAAATTCGTGCAAAATTCGATAATAACTCTAGGGTTTCGGGGAGTACAAACCAAGGATCTGCCATAGGGCTCGCTAGACACCAAGAGTTCGCGTATGTCGGCGTGTTACCATGTTGATATCCCAATCGGCGGAATCTGAGCCTTTCATCCTCCTCAGAATAGACCTTAATGAAAATAAAGTCCATTGTCATAACACACCGCGCGAATAAACGAGGAAGGTTCTAATTAGATCATCGCTCATAGCCAGTACCCTCTGAGCTTGTCAGTCGGTCGCGCATACATCATTTCACCATAACGACGTACATCCGATTCCTTCTTAGATTCATTTGTACGCCGCCAGTCTCCATCCTGACCGTTGAAGAAATCGATGAAAGCCCTAACACGACTCCAGAATGGCAGACGCAAGATTCTGCACCAAACGAGTAAACCAACACTTTCAGTGCTCGTGTCTAGCCCGATCCGTCCGTTGTCAATCCTATCCAGCCGAGCTCGCGCCAGCGTCGACACATTTCCTGCTTACGACTGGATTCCTCGTCATATGAGCGGTACTTTCGATTGAAAATGGGCCAAGGTGAGCTCATGGGGCCTGCTACAGGACGGCAGGACAGGTTCGTCTATCGATTATGTTCGGTTCTGCTTTCTAACCCGACCATAGCTCAGTTGGAAGAGCACAAGACTGTAATTTGATAACTGCAAAAGTTGCCCATCTTAGGGACGCCTGTTTGAACCAGGCTAGTCAGATCATGGATCCTCACGGTGTAGATTTTGGACTTCGCCCTTCGGTCGAGGTCACATACCCTTAGATGCATGGCCCTAAAACCTTGTCGACCTCAGAAGAAATAAAAGCTATGCCCTATATAGTCTACTTACTGTATGTCTCCCGCCAAACATTGCTTGCAGGTAACTCGCAAGTTTCGAACAAATATGGGGCCCTGGGCGACTTGAAATGCATTTTCATCGAGTAGGGCCCCCCGGATAGGTAGTTATTATTGGATAGCCCACGATATGCATCGCTGTAGATAACCTTTGATCCAGTCTATGTGCATTGGGATGTCTCTGGAGAACACGCCCCGTGATTGCAATGTGGTGCCGGCACAACCATTGGCGAGCCAGGTTGTAGTACTAGGTTGGGGTCCAAGTTGCTATGCTGTGTCGTTTACTCAGTCCCGAGTCTGTGGCTCTTCTTCCAGTACCCTCTTCACACTCTTGTTTCCCAACACTCAATCTCTTCGTGGTCTCATATACCTGTCTTATATGGCCATGCTACCTAGCTGATGCTCATACTCGGCCCAAAGTAGAACTTCTATGTTGTCTCCGGACTTTGGAGTGTTGAATCTGATCTCGCAGGGTACGTGGCACGGTACTTTATTTTGTGGACAGTTTCAATATTTCATGGAGAGGAACTTGGCATGGTGGCAGGTCTATTCCCTCTATAATACCTCAACGGCGTCGTAATCTCCTGTCGACCGCAAATCAGAACGTCATGGGATTATGGATGTCATTCCATATCGTTCCCCTTTCGGGTAAGTCATTTCATAATTCTCCTTACACGCGTTGGCCTGTATTGTCTACCCTGCAGCAGGCTGCAATCATCCGGAAGGTTGCTTCCAGTCTCTCATTTACCTTGACCATACACAACTACGAGCACGCTCCAACTGCCGATTAAACAGAGTGAAAAGACGTGCAGCACAATCAAATGTGCTGCATGCTGGTCTGGTCCGTTGGTTCTACTTCAAAAGATAGCTAATGAATCTAAATTTTCTTGAGAGATCATAATCGTAAACTATTACGCGGGGTTTCCTTTGTGCTTTCCATGAGACTATATTCATCTGTCAACTGAGAGCACGAATGAAGTTGCAGCCGACTGCTAGTGCATTGAGGCGTGTTGTGCACGATACAAGACCCCACACCTATCAATGGATATATGTTATCGCGGACAATCATTACTTCTTCCCGGTGTCACTGCTGATATCAATGCAATCGCACGAATTGCATGTCCGTCACATGTCGGTGCGACGGAGGCGATGCCCCAAGAGTTTCAATTGCTACAAATCCCCCGTTGATCCTTCACCAGTCGATTAGCTTTTTGGTTGGTGGCATACTTGTGACGCAGATTTTCGGTGTATCAACAACGTATCTAGGTTCGTATACGACTTTAATTGGAAAGCAAATATTATTATATTAGCCTTCTGTCTCATTGAATTATGCAGCTGACTCGCTTGCTTCTGATGCTTGAGCCGAAAACACGAACTTTGGGATGTCAAACGCTCTTCTCTCCGAAACATGGTAGAGCATACTCGCTTAACAGTATGGTCCCCTCATAGCGTTAGCATGAACATTCCCCGAAATGGTAAGGAAGTCCTAAATCAATGAGTCATTGATCGCTAACAAGACTGATCAGGTGGCCACTGTACTTGGAGCACATAGTTCGCAACTTCTCGACCTCCTCCCATCAGCGTACGGTTATATACTGTCCTTGTCACCCCATCGGCTTCCCCCTCAATCATCTATCCCATCTGGTACGCATTGCATGTTTTTTGTTACGGCAAAGGTTGAAGGCTGACATTGGCCCTGAACTGAATTTATGGGTACTTACACCCTAGTGATGCTTCCTATAACCCGTTTTGATCGTGTCCTCGACACGAATTACGCACCTTCTGAGGAGGAACGCTGTGAAATCAGGGCCTTGGTCGTCGATCCAGCGGAAGAACTTCGAAAGCTAGATCAGGAGATTGCCAGGCTACAAGCTCAACGAGACGAGCTCAATCAATTCATTCTCAAACACCGCATGCTTCTATCACCTTTCCGAAGGCTACCTGGAGATATTTGGGGGGAGATTTTTATTCGATGCCTCCCAGAAGAGTCTCTACCCGTTCGGAGCCTAGCGGAGGCGCCCCTTCTCTTTACTGGTATCTGCCATTCATGGCGAGAAATTGCCCTAAGTACTCCTCGGCTCTGGAACGCTATTCACATCCCCATCCCAAATCCACTCTCACGTTATGCATGGTTGTTGCATGATCGAACAGAAGGGGTAAAACTCTGGTTAACAAGATCAGGATCTTTACCTCTCACAATCTCGCTAGGATCGAAACCACGTTCTGTTTGGGATCAGTTTGTACAGTCAGACATGGAGAGGGTGGAGAACTCGCATAGGGCGTTTTTTGCTATGCTTTATCAATTCTCCTACCGATGGAAGTCCCTCACCTTTTCTGGCCTGCCTTCCTCTTTCCTTCGCCGCCTCGAGACACGCCAGGGTGAAGAGGAAACACCACTAGTGACGGAAATTATACAGCAGGAGAGATTCCAACCGGGATCGATGCAGTTCCAAGGCGAAACGTACCCAGCCGTGCTCTCTCTCTTTGCACGATCTCCAGCGATCCGCGTTCTTGATATTGAGCTCCCACAGGTATCCGCCTTGGGGAAGCTCCCCACACGTTCTGCTGGTCTAACAGTACTTCGGCTACATCTAAGGAATCCTATCGACTGCACCACGGTGCTACGGGCATTGTGCAATCTATGCCCCGCGTTGCTCGAGTTATCCCTGATCCTGTACCCCTCCCTTAACCATTTTGTGGCAGACTCTGCACCAGCGGCTGTATGGGAACATCTCCAAAGGCTTTACCTCTCGTTCCCTGATGACGACGATGAGTCGGCAATTCGGAAATCATTTGATTCAGTCACCACACCATCCTTAACTCATCTCGGTCTCTTCAGTCATTCGCTCAACTACAATCAGAATGTAGACCTTATCCGGCACGGTGGATTACCTTTCGACGATTTGATCATTCGCTCGAAATGTGACCTCCTCAGTCTTCACCTCTCTATCCCTCTTGGCGAAGAGCTTGCGGAGTCCCTCATTCACCTCAGGTCCCTCAAGACGCTGAAGCTGTTTCCTTTGGCAAAGAGGGGTCGTTTACCGAGGACACCAAATCTGGACGACGACGAGATCCCTCGAGACCCGTCCCCGCTGGACGTAGCCATAGCGTCTCTCTCATCCTCGGGCAAAAACTTGCTATGTCCCAACCTCGAGGAAATACGGTTCGAGTTTTGTCGTCCGGGGGAGGTAGAACAATTGTTGAACTTTGTTCGCACTCGCGCGAGACTCAGTGCCAGTTTCAATGCGCTTAGGGCGAGCTTTGGACGAATATCGTCGAAGGCAATTGGGAGTATCAAGGCCGCCTCCAAGGAGGCCAGGGGAAAGATTGCCGAGGTAAAGGTTGAATGGGATTTCACTCGTATTCGGTCTCTGTCTGCGGATCGTCGAGACGAGAGAGATGATCCCCGTGATGGAATGTCAATTCGAGAAAAAGTTGAGAGAGAGCTCGTTTAGTGCCGATCAATATCTAAATTATATGAGAGTCTCGAGTTTATACGTTTCTGAACAAGTACTGCGACTTTTGACTCAGACTTTGTGTGGACGATTTTTTGAACATGTTATTGCGATCTCCAAGTATAATGGCTTCTGAAAAATAGAGAACGCTCAGGAGCGTTCGGGACAGACTTATATAATTTTTTTCAGAAGCCATGAGATTTAGAAATCGCAATAACATGGGAAGGGTGGTTCATGAGCGTGACATGCCCGAGTCTTGTCGCTCGAGCCGGCCGGAAAAAGCCCTATGATTAGATGCCAGCAGAAATCTGGATCGTTGCTCACAACGAACTACAAGTATGACCTCAAAGATAGCTTTCCAGAGGTAGTCAGGTCGAAGAAGGTTGAAAATAAGGGTCCCTGGCCGGCACTTCTCCGTACCGATAATCCTCCGCAGGTTCCCATCACGTGAGGAGTCGCGTCGCGAGTTGTGTGATACCTAGTGAGTCACAGTTGGGCAAGAGAATACAGTCACCGAACTCGAAGTGAGGTGAAGGAACGCGATGATGGATTGCAGGCCTTTGTGAAGGAAGTACATACAACATGGGGTATTCTGGTAAATCTATCTGAGAAGAAAGCAAAGAGATAAGGAGGGACTAGAGAACGTTCAAGGCCTCATCGGGGGCAACAGGTAACAGTTCTTTGAGGGCATAGAGAGATTAAATGAGTGTGGTATCTAAATGGACATAAGTTCAACCGAAATGAAATGAGAAGAGGTGCCAAACGAGACGCCCAGCATCTCAGGCGTTCGGAATAGCCCTCATCTTACCCGTCTTATCCACAAGCACCCATCCTTTCTTCATTACATCATCTCCCACCCGTGGTGGCGGGGGAATATTACTAGTCGTAGCGCTCCTCTTCAATTTTCCAAACACAGATGGAAGCCTCGGTCTCTTCAAGCTGGTCGGAGAGGGCGAGGATCCTCCCTTCGGTGGAGTCCATTCTGGTAAGCTCGCCTGAGTTTCCGAAGAAACAAGAGTATCTTCAGAGTCTCGACGTAGTGGGGATAGTGGCGGTCGGACAAGCTGTTGCTCAAACTCCGAAGGCCCATGGAGAAACGGGTTGTGCTTTCGCGACCCTGTCAACTGGAAAGGTTCCGAAATCTCGGGTCGTTTGGGTGTCGACAAGGGTGTCTTCGGTCTTGTATAGCCGACGTTAAAAATCTGAGGAATCCACGGAGGGTGGTAGTCGCCTGGGCTTAGATAGTCTGTGGTCGCGAGATTGGTTTTCGAAGCCTTTTCTCCCGCCCAAGTCCGATTCCGCATGTCCTCAAAACGGTCATTCGGCCCAAAGTCGACGTCTATGTAGTTGGATGTGGATGTTGTAGTAACAGAGAAGCGAGAAGACTGGGAGAGAAAGCAATTGTTGGGTC